AATTTAAGAATTCAAAATGACTAAATAGACACATTATGACCACAAACCCACAAAAAACGCGTACAGAAAGAATAAAAGGACAAGAAAACACCTGAAATTGTTTGCAAAATGGTTGTGTGTGTGTGTGTGTGTGTGTGTGTGTTAGGTGTTCAGCCTCCAGCAGCTGATGAGCCTCAGCGCACAAAGAGACAAGCGATCTCTGCAGAGCCGACAGTGCTGGACCCCTCACAGCTGACTGATGTTACCCTGAAGAGCTACTCCAAGAGCAAAGAGTACACACACACACACACACACACACACACACACACACACACACACACACACACACACACACACACACACACACACACACACACACACACACACACACACACACACACACACACACAGTGACCTTTTTGTGTCTCTACAGGTCCAGTGATCTGATCCAGAGAGCTCTGATGGACAACGACTTCATGAAACATCTAGAACACGGACAGGTACCGTACTGTAGTTCCTTTATAGCCCAACATTAGCCACCTTTAGCTTAGTGGTGGTGACGTGAAGTCATGTGACCGTGCTGTAGCTCCTTTATAGCCCAACATTAGCCTCCTTTAGCTTAGCGGTGGTGACGTGAAGTCATGTGACCGTGCTGTAGCTCCTTTATAGCCCAACATTAGCCACCTTTAGCTTAGCGGTGGTGACGTGAAGTCATGTGATCGTGCTGTAGTTCCTTTATAGCCCAACATTAGCCACCTTTAGCTTAGTGGTGGTGACGTGAAGTCATGTGACCGTGCTGTAGCTCCTTTATAGCCCAACATTAGCCTCCTTTAGCTTAGCGGTGGTGACGTGAAGTCATGTGACCGTGCTGTAGCTCCTTTATAGCCCAACATTAGCCACCTTTAGCTTAGCGGTGGTGACGTGAAGTCATGTGACCGTGCTGTAGCTCCTTTATAGCCCAACATTAGCCTCCTTTAGCTTAGCGGTGGTGACGTGAAGTCATGTGACCATGCTGTAGCTCCTTTATAGCCCAACATTAGCCACCTTTAGCTTAGCGGTGGTGACGTGAAGTCATGTGACCGTGCTGTAGTTCCTTTATAGCCCAACATTAGCCACCTTTAGCTTAGCGGTGGTGACGTGAAGTCATGTGACCGTGTTGTAGTGCCTTTATAGCCCAACATTAGCCTCCTTTAGCTTAGCGGTGGTGACGTGAAGTCATGTGACCGTGCTGTAGTGCCTTTATAGCCCAATATTAGCCACATTTAGCTTAGCGGTGGTGACATGAAGTCATGTGACCGTGCTGTAGTTCCTTTATAGCCCAACATTATCCTCCTTTAGCTTAGCGGTGGTGACGTGAAGTCATGTGACCGTGCTGTAGTTCCTTTATAGCCCAACATTAGCCACCTTTAGCTTAGCGGTGGTGACGTGAAGTCATGTGACCGTGCTGTAGTTCCTTTATAGCCCAACATTAGCCGCCTTTAGCTTAGCGGTGGTGACGTGAAGTCATGTGACCGTGCTGTAGTTTCTTCATAGCCCAACATTAGCCACCTTTAGCTTAGCGGTGGTGACGTGAAGTCATGTGACCGTGCTGTAGTTCCTTTATAGCCCAACATTAGCCGCCTTTAGCTTAGCGGTGGTGACGTGAAGTCATGTGACCGTGCTGTAGTTTCTTCATAGCCCAACATTAGCCGCCTTTAGCTTAGCGGTGGTGACGTGAAGTCATGTGACCGTGCTGTAGTTTCTTCATAGCCCAACATTAGCCACCTTTAGCTTAGCGGTGGTGACGTGAAGTCATGTGACCGTGCTGTAGTTCCTTTATAGCCCAACATTAGCCTCCTTTAGCTTAGCGCTGGTGACGTGAAGTCATGTGACCGTGCTGTAGTTCCTTTATAGCCCAACATTAGCCGCCTTTAGCTTAGCGGTGGTGACGTGAAGTCATGTGACCGTGCTGTAGTTTCTTCATAGCCCAACATTAGCCACCTTTAGCTTAGCGGTGGTGACGTGAAGTCATGTGACCGTGCTGTAGTGCCTTTATAGCCCAACATTAGCCTCCTTTAGCTTAGCGGTGGTGACGTGAAGTCATGTGACCGTGCTGTAGTGCCTTTATAGCCCAACATTAGCCACCTTTAGCTTAGCGGTGGTGACGTGAAGTCATGTGACCGTGCTGTAGTTTCTTCATAGCCCAACATTAGCCACCTTTAGCTTAGCGGTGGTGACGTGAAGTCATGTGACCGTGCTGTAGTTCCTTTATAGCCCAACATTAGCCGCCTTTAGCTTAGCGGTGGTGACGTGAAGTCATGTGACCGTGCTGTAGTTTCTTCATAGCCCAACATTAGCCGCCTTTAGCTTAGCGGTGGTGACGTGAAGTCATGTGACCGTGCTGTAGTTTTTTCATAGCCCAACATTAGCCACCTTTAGCTTAGCGGTGGTGACGTGAAGTCATGTGACCGTGCTGTAGTTCCTTTATAGCCCAACATTAGCCTCCTGTAGCTTAGCGGTGGTGACGTGAAGTCATGTGACCGTGCTGTAGTTCCTTTATAGCCCAACATTAGCCTCCTGTAGCTTAGCAGTGGTGACGTGAAGTCATGTGACCGTGCTGTAGTTCCTTTATAGCCCAACATTAGCCACCTTTAGCTTAGCGGTGGTGACGTGAAGTCATGTGACCGTGCTGTTGTTCCTTTATAGCCCAACATTAGCCACCTTTAGCTTAGCGGTGGTGACGTGAAGTCATGTGACCGTGCTGTAGTTCCTTTATAGCCCAACATTAGCCTCCTTTAGCTTAGCGCTGGTGACGTGAAGTCATGTGACCGTGCTGTAGTTCCTTTATAGCCCAACATTAGCCGCCTTTAGCTTAGCGGTGGTGACGTGAAGTCATGTGACCGTGCTGTAGTTTCTTCATAGCCCAACATTAGCCACCTTTAGCTTAGCGGTGGTGACGTGAAGTCATGTGACCGTGCTGTAGTGCCTTTATAGCCCAACATTAGCCTCCTTTAGCTTAGCGGTGGTGACGTGAAGTCATGTGACCGTGCTGTAGTGCCTTTATAGCCCAACATTAGCCACCTTTAGCTTAGCGGTGGTGACGTGAAGTCATGTGACCGTGCTGTAGTTTCTTCATAGCCCAACATTAGCCACCTTTAGCTTAGCGGTGGTGACGTGAAGTCATGTGACCGTGCTGTAGTTCCTTTATAGCCCAACATTAGCCTCCTGTAGCTTAGCGGTGGTGACGTGAAGTCATGTGACCGTGCTGTAGTTCCTTTATAGCCCAACATTAGCCACCTTTAGCTTAGCGGTGGTGACGTGAAGTCATGTGACCGTGCTGTCGTTCCTTTATAGCCCAACATTAGCCACCTTTAGCTTAGCGGTGGTGACGTGAAGTCATGTGACCGTGCTGTAGTTCCTTTATAGCCCAACATTAGCCTCCTTTAGCTTAGCGCTGGTGACGTGAAGTCATGTGACCGTGCTGTAGTTCCTTTATAGCCCAACATTAGCCGCCTTTAGCTTAGCGGTGGTGACGTGAAGTCATGTGACCGTGCTGTAGTTTCTTCATAGCCCAACATTAGCCACCTTTAGCTTAGCGGTGGTGACGTGAAGTCATGTGACCGTGCTGTAGTGCCTTTATAGCCCAACATTAGCCTCCTTTAGCTTAGCGGTGGTGACGTGAAGTCATGTGACCGTGCTGTAGTGCCTTTATAGCCCAACATTAGCCACCTTTAGCTTAGCGGTGGTGACATGAAGTCATGTGACCGTGCGGTAGTTCCTTTATAGCCCAACATTAGCCACCTTTAGCTTAGCGGTGGTAACGTGAAGTCATGTGACCGTGCTGTAGTTCCTTTATAGCCCAACATTAGCCACCTTTAGCTTAGCGGTGGTGACGTGAAGTCATGTGACCGTGCTGTAGTTCCTTCATAGCCCAACATTAGCCACCTTTAGCTTAGCGGTGTATAGTTTTTGAAGCTTTTCACTTCAGAAATCATAAAGTGTTGTTACCAGGGAGATGCTACCTTCAGGGTCAAACACAGAAATACTACATCCCTCTATTATAGTTTGATGTGTTGTCTCTTGCAGATCCTCACCATCATGGACTGCATGCATCCCACCAGCCTGACTAAAGGCTGCTGTGTGATCCAGGAGGGAGACGACGGCTCCACGGTGTACGTCCTGGAGGGTGAGGAGTATATTTCAGATGGAATCATAAGTGTTAAATGCAGTAAAGATACATGTGTTAATCAACACTTTAAAGTTTAATGAGGAGTCTTTTTAGTCAAAATGCCAGTTGTTGTGGACGGATTCAAATGTCTTGATGAGTCGATATATTGTCTGGTTTGTGTGTGAAGTGATAAACTGGCTGGTCACACACACACACACACTGCATTAAGAAATGCACTGAAATGTGTGTTTTAGTCCAGTTCAGTGCAAAAGAACAACAAAAAGATGAACAAAAGAATACAGAAAATGATAAATCACACAAAGAGACCAAAAACATCGCAAAACAAGGACACAATAAAAAAAGGGCGTTATAGACTCAGTGTGTGTTGGTGTGTGTTAGACTCGGTGTGTGTTAGACTCAGTGTGTGTTGGTGTGTGTTAGACTCGGTGTGTGTTAGACTCAGTGTGTGTTGGTGTGTGTTAGACTCGGTGTGTGTTAGACTCAGTGTGTGTTGGTGTGTGTTGGACTCAGTGTGTGTTGGTGTGTGTTAGACTCGGTGTGTGTTAGACTCAGTGTGTGTTGGTGTGTGTTAGACTCAGTGTGTGTTGGTGTGTGTTGGACTCAGTGTGTGTTGGACTCAGTGTGTGTTGGTGTGTGTTGGACTCAGTGTGTGTTGGACTCAGTGTGTGTTGGTGTGTGTTGGACTCAGTGTGTGTTGGTGTGTGTTAGACTCAGTGTGTGTTGGTGTGTGTTGGACTCAGTGTGTGTTGGACTCAGTGTGTGTTGGTGTGTGTTGGACTCAGTGTGTGTTGGACTCAGTGTGTGTTGGTGTGTGTTAGACTCAGTGTGTGTTGGTGTGTGTTCACAGAAGGAACCGTGGAGGTGACGAAACAAGGAAAGACTCTGTGTTCGATTGGAGAGGGGAAAGTCTTCGGAGAGTTGGCCATCCTGTACAACTGCACCCGCACTGCTACTGTAACAGGTAACACACACACACACACACACACAAACACACACACATAATAGATGGCAAAAATACACATCCTTTACTCAAGCAGAAGTACAGATACTCGTGTTTAAAAATACTCTGGTGAAAGTAGAAGTACTGACTAAACTTCTTTACTCAAGTCAAAGTAAAGAGGCTTTGAAGTGTACTTCAGTAAAAAGTACCCATAACTAGCAGCTGCTTTAAAGAGTACCTGACCTCCCTTTATATTAATAGAACAATAATGTCATTGTTAGCTAATGAATGTTTCCATGCTGAACAACGGCAACATGACAACGTTTCCATTGGTCCCTCTTCTTTAGAGAAGACCAGGAAATGATGGATACACGGATCGTGTTCAAATCAATAGGCACGCAATGACTCTAAAGAATAATGATCACGCATCAAACACACATTCAGACTAAAGGAACCAGCTGTTTGGAAAATGAGAGAAGTAGAAAGTACAAGTATTTGAGTTCAACATGTAAGAAGTAGAAAGTACAGGTATTTGAGTTCAACATGTAAGAAGTAGAAAGTACAGGTATTTGAGTTCAACATGTGAGAAGTAGAAAGTACAGGTATTTGAGTTCAACATGTGAGAAGTAGAAAGTACAGGTATTTGAGTTCAACATGTAAGAAGTAGAAAGTACAAGTATTTGAGTTCAACATGTAAGAAGTAGAAAGTACAGGTATTTGAGTTCAACATGTAAGAAGTAGAAAGTACAAGTATTTGAGTTCAACATGTGAGAAGTAGAAAGTACAGGTATTTGAGTTCAACATGTAAGAAGTAGAAAGTACAAGTATTTGAGTTCAACATGTGAGAAGTAGAAAGTACAGGTATTTGAGTTCAACATGTAAGAAGTAGAAAGTACAAGTATTTGAGTTCAACATGTAAGAAGTAGAAAGTACAGGTATTTGAGTTCAACATGTAAGAAGTAGAAAGTACAGGTATTTGAGTTCAACATGTGAGAAGTAGAAAGTACAGGTATTTGAGTTCAACATGTAAGAAGTAGAAAGTACAGGTATTTGTGTTCAACATGTAAGAAGTAGAAAGTACAGGTATTTGTGTTCAACATGTAAGAAGTAGAAAGTACAAGTATTTGAGTTCAACATGTAAGAAGTAGAAAGTACAGGTATTTGAGTTCAACATGTAAGAAGTAGAAAGTACAGGTATTTGAGTTCAACATGTGAGAAGTAGAAAGTACAGGTATTTGAGTTCAACATGTAAGAAGTAGAAAGTACAGGTATTTGTGTTCAACATGTAAGAAGTAGAAAGTACAGGTATTTGTGTTCAACATGTGAGAAGTAGAAAGTACAGGTATTTGAGTTCAACATGTAAGAAGTAGAAAGTACAGGTATTTGAGTTCAACATGTGAGAAGTAGAAAGTACAGGTATTTGAGTTCAACATGTAAGAAGTAGAAAGTACAGGTATTTGTGTTCAACATGTAAGAAGTAGAAAGTACAAGTATTTGAGTTCAACATGTAAGAAGTAGAAAGTACAGGTATTTGAGTTCAACATGTAAGAAGTAGAAAGTACAAGTATTTGAGTTCAACATGTGAGAAGTAGAAAGTACAGGTATTTGAGTTCAACATGTAAGAAGTAGAAAGTACAAGTATTTGAGTTCAACATGTGAGAAGTAGAAAGTACAGGTATTTGAGTTCAACATGTAAGAAGTAGAAAGTACAAGTATTTGAGTTCAACATGTAAGAAGTAGAAAGTACAGGTATTTGAGTTCAACATGTAAGAAGTAGAAAGTACAGGTATTTGAGTTCAACATGTGAGAAGTAGAAAGTACAGGTATTTGAGTTCAACATGTAAGAAGTAGAAAGTACAGGTATTTGTGTTCAACATGTAAGAAGTAGAAAGTACAGGTATTTGTGTTCAACATGTAAGAAGTAGAAAGTACAAGTATTTGAGTTCAACATGTAAGAAGTAGAAAGTACAGGTATTTGAGTTCAACATGTAAGAAGTAGAAAGTACAGGTATTTGAGTTCAACATGTGAGAAGTAGAAAGTACAGGTATTTGAGTTCAACATGTAAGAAGTAGAAAGTACAGGTATTTGTGTTCAACATGTAAGAAGTAGAAAGTACAGGTATTTGTGTTCAACATGTGAGAAGTAGAAAGTACAGGTATTTGAGTTCAACATGTAAGAAGTAGAAAGTACAGGTATTTGAGTTCAACATGTGAGAAGTAGAAAGTACAGGTATTTGAGTTCAACATGTAAGAAGTAGAAAGTACAGGTATTTGTGTTCAACATGTAAGAAGTAGAAAGTACAAGTATTTGAGTTCAACATGTAAGAAGTAGAAAGTACAGGTATTTGTGTTCAACATGTAAGAAGTAGAAAGTACAGGTATTTGAGTTCAACATGTAAGAAGTAGAAAGTACAGGTATTTGTGTTCAACATGTAAGAAGTAGAAAGTACAAGTATTTGAGTTCAACATGTAAGAAGTAGAAAGTACAAGTATTTGAGTTCAACATGTAAGAAGTAGAAAGTACAGGTATTTGAGTTCAACATGTGAGAAGTAGAAAGTACAGGTATTTGAGTTCAACATGTAAGAAGTAGAAAGTACAGGTATTTGTGTTCAACATGTAAGAAGTAGAAAGTACAGGTATTTGTGTTCAACATGTAAGAAGTAGAAAGTACAAGTATTTGAGTTCAACATGTAAGAAGTAGAAAGTACAGGTATTTGAGTTCAACATGTAAGAAGTAGAAAGTACAGGTATTTGAGTTCAACATGTAAGAAGTAGAAAGTACAGGTATTTGTGTTCAACATGTAAGAAGTAGAAAGTACAAGTATTTGAGTTCAACATGTAAGAAGTAGAAAGTACAGGTATTTGTGTTCAACATGTAAGAAGTAGAAAGTACAGGTATTTGAGTTCAACATGTAAGAAGTAGAAAGTACAAGTATTTGGGTTCAACATGTAAGAAGTAGAAAGTACAGGTATTTGTGTTCAACATGTAAGAAGTAGAAAGTACAGGTATTTGAGTTCAACATGTAAGAAGTAGAAAGTACAGGTATTTGTGTTCAACATGTAAGAAGTAGAAAGTACAGGTATTTGAGTTCAACATGTGAGAAGTAGAAAGTACAGGTTTTTAAATGCTTTCACGGTGCAGGGACAGTTACGGAGCGTCCACACTACAGCTTCAAAAAAATCTTGGAGCTGGGCGTGTCTGAAGCTTGGGGATTTTATTCGAGCAACGCGACCAACAACCAATCACATGAATCTCCCGCCCCCGACATACAAAGCAAAAAACCGAGGATTTTATGCGAGCAATATATATATATATATATATATATATAAACTCCCCAAACAGGCGAAAACCTACCAGTTTCACCCACTGTCTCTGCCACCTCCCTCCATGCCTGGTTCCTCCGGTTTGTATCCCGGTAGGTGAAGAGGGTCTGCTCATACAAAACCGGGTGATTCGCTACGGCGATAAATAGTTTCTCCTCCATCTTTTTTTAAAATATAGAAACGAACGGCGGGATATCTCTCCCAGCTTAGACGCGGTTTGATTGGCTAGGGCTTGAGCTGTCAGATTTTCAGAAACGGGATTTGATTGGCTGGCGCTGGCGACGGACCGCTATGCTACCCACAACTCAGTTCGGCGAAAAGCGAGGCAACGTGACGCAGTGTTGCCAACTTGGCGATTTTCTCGTTAAATTTGGCGGATTTCCAAACCCTCCGGCGACTTATTTGTGTCAAAAGCGACTAACGACTAATCTAGCGATTTATAATGGTGTTATTAGCGACTTTTCTGGTGTTTGGAGACTCACGTATTGTTCTGCAGTTAACGAGCCGCGGGTGCTGCCGTGAGCCCCGCCTCCCTCCCATAGTACTCACAGGCGCTCAGACTGACAGTTGCCTGGCCGCAGCAGAGCTGCTGCTGCAGTCACGGCCCGTCCACACAGCGGCGTGCGTTGAAGCTTCCAACGCTTCTGCCCATTCACTTTGAATGGGGTGACGTCACTTTTAGCCGAACTGCATTTTGGGAAGCGACGTGGAGCGTTGCTGGCGTAGCTGGCGTCAAAAGTTGAGCAATGTTCAACTTTTGACGCCTCGACGGAGGCGTCAGCCAATGAAATCCCGTTTATTCAAATCTGCCAGTACAAGCTCTAGCCAATCAAACCGCGTGTATGCTGGGAGAGACTACGCAGGTCATTTCCTCATATTCAAAAAAATGGAGGGAAAATTCATTATAGCGGTAGAGAATCACCCGGTGCTGTATGATCAGTCTCTGTTGATCTACCGGGATACAAACCGGAGGAGCGAGGCATGGAGGGAGGAGGCAGAGACAGTGGATGAAACTGGTAGGTTTTCGCCTGTTTGGGGATTTTATATCCAGTTTACTTCGTTTTAACATTGCTATTGCTTTGTATGTCGGGGGCAGGAGATTCATGTGATTGGTTGTTGGTCGTGTTGCTCGCAAAAAAATCCCCAAGCTTCAGATACGCCCAGCTTCAAGCGTCAACGCACGCTGCTGTGTGGACGCTCCGTCAGAGCAGAGAGGAGACAACCACACTCCCCCGCGTCGAGACTGCAAATGAATTGCGAATGCGCCAACTGCCAAGCCGTCCTGGTTTTGAGCGGGATTAAAATGTAAATGTTTCTTCACTCACTTTCAAACTATAATAAATAACTGCCTTTGCTTTGACTCACACAGCCTCAGTCACTCAATCACCTCGTCCACTGTGTGTGTGCCTCTCTGTGACAAGCTAAACATCATGATGCTTTCCTGGAGAAGTCCAGAATTTGATCCTTGAAGGGTTGGGAACGTGTTTTGTACTCCCCTCGACCATGCTCTCTCCTACAGCCGCCATTACATGATATGCAAATTAGGCGATGACGTCATTTAGCGACTTCTGGCGACTTTCCGGACAGCCAATAGCTACTTTCCTTACTATGGAGTTGGCAACACTGACGTGACGTCACCCCATTCAAAGTGAATGGGGTGACGCGTTGGAAACCGTTTTTGAAGCTGTCGACGCTG